AATAACGATATACATGAGTAAAATATTATGGGAGTTTGTCCTTTACAACAATGTAACCGATGCAGATCAAAGTGTGATCTGTAAGCATGAAAAATGTAACACAGCCATATTGAACTTGTAACTAAGTTGATTTTTGAATTTTATAATGTATAATACTCGTTCATGACCCATTGAATTTTTAATTAATCAAAATTAATAAAAGATTATGAAAACTGAAAAGAGGTAAAGAAAAATTTTGGGTTAGAATAGTTGCAGTGTAAAGTAACACCATACATCATAAGTGTAACACATAATAAATTTTTGCTAGGTACTACTAATCAATATCAAATTGAAATATAGATTAGTAAGAGTTACTATAAATGTATACTTCATATATTGTTTGGCAATATGATGAGTGATCACTACTACTAATAAGTATTAATTGCCAAAATATTATGCTTACTAGTAACACATTACAATTTATAAGAGTTAATTATTTAACAAGTAGGATAAGCATGGCTTACTAGAAATTTACCTCACACAATAGATTTGGATTTATGATTTGTGATTCTTCACCGCTAATATATTTTATGGTGTAATCTAAGTATTATTAGTTATTATTAATCCCAAAAATTTTATGATAAATGTGTATCATTTGAATACACATTTATTGTTATATGAATATCTAGTAATCAATTATGTAACCTACTAAAGTTTTCTAAGATCATGTTACTAATTAGTTACTAACTAGTTACCAATAATAGTCACCAAAGTACATGCCACAATTTTGTCTAACCTCATGATTTTTGAGCTATACTAGTAATCACTTAATTATAGTTTATGGCCGAGTAATATTTACCTCATACATTAGGATATATAAATGATTTATAATTTATAAAACTTTTGTTAAATCTTGATATTAGTAATAGCCACTAATCACCTAACTACATACATAACTTCCAACACATGGTTTTTTTGGGCTATTAGTATGCACTTCATAATAAACTAGGATCGACTAGCCTTAATAGTAGGACTATTTGGGCCTTGTTTAGTTCTCCGTTTAAATCGCAGTATTTGGTTTGAATTATAAAATTTGAATTGTGCTTATTTAAATTGTGATTGAATACGTAAATAAATTATAATTTAAATTAAACATAAAATATAAATTGTGTTTAGATAGAGTGTTGAAAACATACATTAAAGTTAATAAACAAACAAATACTTGCATCTTGACAAATAATCAAATACATTGTCAGTTGAATGAAAAACAATAATGTTAAAAGTAGACTAAAATATATAAATTAATCATAACATCACTTGATTTTGTTAAGATTAGAGCCAAAACTAATTTATATTTATTGTCTATACCGATAATTGATACAGTCAATAGTGAATATGTAGACTGTTAACGGTAAAAGAACAAGAAAACACTTTTGCCTCATTCGTTTTGCTCATTCAAGTTGAGAATTTGAATTAAAAAGTGAATTCATGTGAGAAAAAACATTGTGACAGAAAAATTTGAATTTGAATTTTTATGAGAGAAAACACTGTAACAAAAACTTGAGTTGTGCTTCAAACTGGCAAAATGAACGGGGTCAAAAATCGTAAATTGCAACCAAGAAAAGATAATAAAAAATAAAAAATAAAAAAACTTCGAATATGATTTTATTGATGAACTTTTCGGTACACACACTATCTCTCATAAAATCTCTCGGAGTATAATTTCGCAGAGTAACAACTTAAAGATAGAAAATTTTTGATCCATTTTCCGTCCTCCTTCCCTCCTATTTATAAACCTTTCACAATATAACTGTCTGCTCGTGGGTATAACCGCCTCAACCACGTCTCCTCGTCTCAACCGAGTGGATTCTCCTTTTCGTGTCTGGATAGACGTGAAAATCAAAGTCCTGCATGATTCGGATGATGTGAGGTGGCTGAAGCTCCAAGAGACGTGGATCTCTTTGGAAATGTGAGGCAGTTAACCTAGCAAATCTCTTCTTATCAGTTCTCAATTTTATCAAGAGACGTGAATCTAAGAAGGAAGGGAACGAAGAGGACATAGGTGGAGCAAGTTTCACATTCTTACGAGTTTTCGGCCTAGATGCAAGCTCGTCAAGTCCTTGAGCTCACTAGGTCCACGAGCTGGCCAAGTTGCGAAGGTTCGCAAGCTGGCCAAGCTGGCTAGGTCCGCAAGCTGGAAAGCTTCACGAGTTGGCTAGGTTGTGAGCTTACACACGATCTTGAAGTGTGAGTTAGGCCAACTTTACGAGTTTGCTAGGTTGTGCGCTTACACATGAACTTGAAGTGTGAGTTAAGCATAGGGTCAAAGTGGCAAGTTAGAGGATTAGACTTCAGCTAGCGGTGGAAATTAATTAAATCATTTATGTCCCCTACCTTACTCAGCTAAGAGTTTAATTCAAGCTCTGAGCTTTGAAGTGATGACGTGGCAAGCTAAATCGAATTAGTGAAAATTCTTGTATAACACATGAATTTTCGACAAGATACATGTAGTAGCTAAAAAATGCTACAGAAAGTTACACAAACTGAATTTTGCTTAACATTTCCAAAATCAAAACAACAATTAGAGTCCAGTGCGCCAAATCTTAACGTGTTACAAAAAAAAAAAAAAAAAAAAAAAAAAGGGTTACATATTTTGGGTAAGAGTTGCAATTTCAATATAAAAAAGTTACACAAAGGGCATTGTTTCTTACATTTCAAAAAGAAAATGTTAACCCATTTAGTTCGCTGATTCGAGTTTTTAATTCGAGTTGAGATATGATTTTATGTGAAAACTTTTTACTATAATAAAAAAGTTAAATGTGACTGTTTGTGAGAGCTTTTTACTATAACAAAACTCATATCGGTGAAATGAACGGGGCTGTAAAACAATTTGTTATTCTACAAGGTTACTGTCCCGTTCATTTCACCGATTTGAATTTAAAATTTGAGTTTTATTACAGTAAAAAGCTCTCAGAAACAGTCACATCTAACTTTTTTTCTACAGTAAAAAACTCTCACATAAAATTACATCTCTATTTGAATTAAAAACTCAAATCAATAAACTAAACAGCCTACATTTTTTAATTCGACTTGTTACCAATTTTGAAATCAAAAAGCATTCTGACACAAAGTCAAAAAGCATTCCCAATCCTATATTTCCATTCCAACGGTTCAAGTTACCGCCGGATGAGAAATGCAGTGTTGGATTGGAGAATTATCCTATATATATATACCATATTTATCATTTACGGTATTGATAGTGAAAAACCATATTGGATTGAAAATGAACAGTTCCAAATTGTGTTCCCATGAGACATGATTCCAGGGGTGGGTGGCGACTACCGTCATGATTTGTGTGACCCCACACACCCCTTTTGAAGATCTACGTGCGCTTAAAAAGGAGATTCGTGTTATGATTCGAATTATAATTAGTGACTCGTTATAGTATTTTTTCTCACAAAAAATACACGTAAAACGAAAATGATTCTAAATCATAGTTTTGAATTTACGAACTAAACGTCCAATTATCTTATGAGGTCACCGACCGCCCTCTCCCGGCGACGATGAAGGCAGATTCAATCTGCAGAGTTTTCTTTTTTCTTTTTTTTTTAATTTAGTGTTTTAAAAAAATCTGGTATGAATGAGCACATTTTTCTAATGGTGAGCTTATTTATTAATGACCATTGGATCTATATCCAGCTTATTTATTTATGACCATAGGATGTATATCCCATGAACTAAAATATACATTATGGATACGTAGAAAGAGGCTACCGTATTGCAGAAATGCCCATACATTTCTTTTTTTCAAGGCTCAAGCTACTCTCATATCCTTTCCACTCATCTTCAGAATCCCCATTTTTACCAAATTTGCTTTGATGGGAAGAGCACAACCAATCACAAAGCCGACTGATAATAGTTTTCTTGTTTAGAGTCAATAACCAAGATAAATGTTAGTTGGAACCAGTATCTATCAAAATCAGTTATTAGTCTGAATGAGACGTGCGCCTACAATGGAGAACAATTACCTTTAAAAGAAAAAAAAAAAAAGAGTAATGATAAAACCTGTCTCTGTATTAATAATGCATAATTCATTCTGTAGTTTCAAAATATTGTAATTTTTCACTTTCAAAAGAAAAATATTGTGATTTTATCATGTCTTTATCAAATCACACAAATACCACTTCAATTTTTACGTTTCAGGATCAAAATTAACCAGTCTGCTATAAATCTCCTCCAAACACACCTTTTATCCAATATCCAAATTCCAATTGGATCTAAACCTGACCTTAAAACAAGTTAATAATAGTGTGAATCTAAAAGCCTGCATTTCCTTTAACTGGATTATCCAAAAGTCAAAAACTCTTAAATGGCATTTCTTTTCACAATTCTCGAGTGGAGAACCAGGAGTTTAAAAAAAAAATTTATGAGAGAGAAAATACTATAACAAGAGAGTTGAATTTGAATTTTTTTGATAGAAAATACGGTAACAAACAAGTTTTGAGCAGTCATTCGAACTGAGAAAAGAATACGAGTTTCTCTTATATTCCTAAAGTGTTGGTCATGATGCTTTGAAATGGCAATAGAGGAAAAGGGCAAAACAGTGAACAGATTTAGAACAAAGTGAAGTTCACTTCACTCTGCATTAGGCATGTCAAAATACTCAATTTTCACAATGTGGTCACTACAATCATCTTTAACACTAATGTTAAAACAAGAAATTGGAAATTTCATGTAATAACTAAATCCCACATTAAAAAAAAAATCAAGCTTTAAACAAATAGCACCCTAATCTCAACCACAAATTAGTATAACCCCAATACTATACTGCAAATCCCTCAAAATGGTTTATAATCATTGGAAAGTCAGTCCAGCACTTTATAAATGTAACAATCTTCATGCAAATAAAACTCAAATCTAGAGTTTCAAGTCAGGTAACAAGTTCAGATAAAACAATGAAAGCTGAAGAAAAAACTGTATTTGTAAAGCCAAATAACAAAACTTCACTGGGCCAAGAAGAACATCCCTCAAAATCCATTTTTTCATCAAGTGATTTTCAGGCCACTACTTTTAATTTGAATAATTCATCATAGGGATGCAATAACAAAATCCACATAAAATCAATTAAAAAAAACTGAATTTATTCAAAATTCACTCAAAATAACAAAATCCCCAAGATTTTGGAACAGATTATTGAACCCAGAACAAAGAGAGTACATTTAAATAAAGAACTAAAAAGCCAAAAGTAAAAAATCTCACCTTGATTCCTATATACATTTTTTCAGAACAAAAGAAAAGGAAAAAAAAAAAAAAAAAAAAGCTGAATCTATCGCGCAAATGCATAAAGATTGAAACTTTTTCATAAAATTTCACCTTGTAGAAGATGAACTTCGAAACCCCCAAATCCTATTGTGAGAATTGAGCACGAGAGATGCGCTGAGATTTCTAGGGTTTCATTGCGCCATTATATAGGGAACTGGAAGCAAAGCGGGCGGGAGGTGACGATGGGAATCTATGGACGTCATTTTTCTAAACGTTTGGTGAAAGAATTCAGTGTTTAAATTATGATTTATAATTTATTACATTATATTTTTTTATAAAAAATACATATAAATTAAAAATAATTATAATATTTGTTTACTTTATATATTTAAATTTTTAATTTAAATTGAGATATATTATTTTTTTAAAATTTTTTATTGTAATAAAAAAAATTAAATGTGATATTTTTTAAAAATTTTTATTATAAAAATTTAAAATTAAAAATTTAAATTGATGAACGATGCCATTATAATCCATCAACTAACGTTTCATCAACAGTCAAATGACATGTCATTTTTTAAGCATTGGAGAGGAATGAACGCCATCTCCTTTGTTGTTGTTTTACGTGGAAATGGAGAAAAACGACGACATGACCACTATTTCCAAAAAAAAAAAAAAAAAAAAAAAAACAAAACGAACATGACTTGTTTTATTGTGGCAAGAAGAAAACATGTCGTTTGAGGTCATGTGACTCATGTCGTTTTATCGTAGAGTACGGCATTTCTGCATTTATGAACTACATGCCGCTCCTTCAATTAGTTATACCTTTTGATAAGAAAACAACTTCTATTTCTGCTTCGACTAGAAACGACTTTGTTTTTTAAGGGTGTAATTCGTGAGTCGTATTTATATCAACTCATTTATTAATCGCGTTAAAAAATATCAACTCAAAATGACTTGTTTATTAATCGTACGTGTCAAAAATATCAATTCATATAACCTGTTTAAATTAATATATTAAATAAATAACTAATATAACAATGACTTATTTAATACAGTCAAGACATGTTTAATATGTTTATTAGTCAATTTATCTTTTTTTTAAGAAAAATAAAGAAATTTTACCTACAAATATTAAAATTTACATTATTTGTATTTAATATGTCATATAAACTTTCATGTTATATCACATATCATTAGATTATAGATGACATATATAATTAATCGTGTCAATTCGTGTTAAGAGGTCAACCCTAACCCAACTCAATTATTAATCGTGTCAATCCGATTATGACCAAACTCATTTATTGTAAATTTAAACCCGTTAACTTCGTACAGATTTTAAATCGTATCGTCATATCGATATCCGGATTGCCAACCTAATTGTTTTTAAGATCTTGTTGTTTTCCCTTAGTGTGAAAATTGAAAAGTGACACGTATTGAGGAGTGTTATCATACATGTAATCGACATGTCGCATTTACTTACAGTTACACGTCGTTTTTTTTTAGCTATCATCTCCTTTTCATTTCCACTCGATAAAATCAAAGGATATTGGGCCTAACTCAACCTAACAAAACCGGCTTGTTAGAGGAGGATTGCCCTCACCTTATTAAGTGGATCATGCTAATATCTCCAGCCAATATGGGATTCTAATACGCCCCCTCATGCACAGCGTAGATCATGCCAAACCGCTGCGAATAAGTTGATATTGGGAGACCCAACATTACAAAACTGGGCCTGCTCTGATATCATGTTAGAAGAGAAAACCTTAAGGAAACGACAGAAAGGAAAGAAAACGACTGAAAAATAATATGGAATTCTTGTGTATACAAGAAATGATACGGTAACAAGCTTATATACTAATACGCAAGTTGTGAAAATAAATTATAACTAACTAACAACTTGTACAATTAATTTCAACTAATTGGAACTAAAACGGATTAATTAGAAGCTGACTTAGCTATTCTAATAGATATCAGTAGAATATAAGACATATATCGTTTTCTTGCTCATAGACATGTTATTATATTTTTAATGCATTCCTTCCAACTCATATAGTCACATTTAACAACTTTTTTTATTCTCTGTCATCATACCCGAAAACAATATGTTGATTTACTTTGTCGTTTGACGTAGAACGACAAGGACATATTGCTTTGGCCTGTTTCCTGTGGTAAATTCAGGTGGTAAATGTGTTACGAATCCTAATTTTTTTTTATTTAAATCTTAAACGACAAGGACATATTAGGTGCGTTTAAAACTGTTTTTTAATTATTTTTGAAAACGTTTTCATACATCTTTTAAGGTACGAAAATAAAAACGGTTTGTAAACCGCATTTGTTTAGCATAAGTTTTCAAAACGAAAACAAAAATAAAAAAATAATGAAAATAGTTTTTGTGAAGAAAGTTAAAAAACTATTAGAAGTTGTTTTTTTTTCTGTTTTATTTTTTAGTACGTATATATTAAATTATTTAATTATTAATTACTACTTATATAATGTATTAATTAATAATTAATAAATTGATATTATTATAATTAATAAATAAATAGTAATTACTTAATTATTACATATTGCTTTGGCCTGTTTCCTGTGGTAAATTCAGGAGGTAAATGTGTTACGAATCCTAATTTTTTTTTTTTTTTTTCAAATCTTGAAGTAAGTTTAAAATGAAAAAAAAAAAGTAGCAATTTTCACCCGGCTGCCGTCTACCGACAATAATTTACCAAAAAAATCCAACGAAGAAGTGAAGGGTCGGTCGTATGACCGTAAGTGGTTTTGGAAAAGTGGACCCAGTAAACTTTGACAAATTGTCAAATACACACGGACCGACACCTACTTATGTATAAATGTCATAAGAAAGAGGATTTGAGTTTGAGTGTGTGTGAGTGTGAAGTTTGCGAATCACGAGTTACGGTACGGCCATGGAAGCTCAGCAGAAGACGAATCTGCTGGTGGGTTTTCTTCTCTTGACGGTCTTCCTTTCTGGTGTTGGAGCTTGGACTGGTGAGATCCATGGCAGAGTCGTCTGTGATGTCTGTGGTGATTCCTCTGTTGGAGCCGAAGATCATGTTCTAGAAGGTCCCATCTTTCTCTCTCTCTCTCTCTAATTAGCTTATTTTGTCCATTTTTCTTTATTGTTTATTGGGGGCGAAATATTCCTGAATTGGGTGTTTGTGTTTGGCTTGTATCTTTTTGTGATTGGTAATTATGACCATTATTTTTCGAGAAAAATTTGAATATGATTATGGGGTTTTGTCCTTTTGGTTATATTGTTTTGTGGGTTGGTGATAATGATTGTGATGCATGCTAAAAATTGCTTCGTTTTTAGGCGTTTTTATGAGAAATTTTTATTTTTATTTTTATTTTTTTTTATGACTGGTTTGATCATTGTACTGGGAGGATTGTTCTTAGACCCTTTTTCTTAATTAAAAAAAAAAATCTGCAGTATCTTTAATACATGGATCAAAATTTTTTATTTTATAGTGATTGTTCCTTTGAGTAGTTTATCGTTGAGCTATAATTCTATGCCCAATAAAGAGATATATATAGATTCAGTTACCCTTTCGTATTTTATTTTTTGTTGAAACTGCAGGCTATCATGAACTGCAATGTTCTAAACTTTTGCTTTTGCGCACCCAAAAAAGAGGGAAAAAAAAGAGGAAAACTTGTGCCTAGCACTTGAAAATAATCTAATTTCCTTTAAATAGGAAAGAGAATAAATGCCACACAACACTTTGTTGTTGTTGATCTTGTTGAGGAGCTATTTGGATATGGGAAAGATTTTTCATGGGCAATTGGTCTAAAGTTGAAAACTTGCAACAAAATTCATCATGTTTGTTACAAGGACAAGTTCAATTATCTAAATGACGTTTGGTTTCTTGTTTTATATGTTGTTCTTTTTTTTTTTTTTGAATCAGAAATGTTTGAAGTTACTACTCTGTCATCTACTTACTGTTTACATCCTTAAATCATCAATGGAATGAGGAAATCTGGAAAAGAGTAGAATTTGGAAACAAGTTGAAAATTCATGGCAAATTCAGACAATAATTGTGGGTGTTAGAGTTTTAATTTTGTTGTAACTACTTCAATTACTTGATGGAATGCGATTTCTTTGTTCTTGTCTTACAAATTCAATGTTAGATTTATGACATCTTGCAAATTCAAAATGAGATTTATGACATAAGTTCACAAATCGATGTTTAACTGCTAGAATTTGATGCAATGATAGTAATAATTGGCGAGCATTAGTAGAAATTTTGAGTTTCCCACATCCCAATTTGTCTTTTGTATTGGAGTAGCACTAACAGTGGTAGTTTTTGATTTGTCAAACGCAGGTGCTGAAGTAGCTGTACTTTGCATCACAAAATCTAGGGAAGTTCTAAACTACCAGGCATTCACAAACGCTAAGGGGATATACACGGTGGCGGAGACAATGCCTGAGAGTGACCGCTGGGATGCGTGCCTGGCGCGACCCATCAGCAGCTTCCATGAGCACTGCACTCATCTCGGCCAGGGCAGCTTGGGTGTAAAGTTCAGTTACAATCATCCATCGGGTTATTCTCACACTGTCAGAACTTTCGTCTATCGGCCTGCTAACGTCCCAACATACTGCATTTGACAACCTTAGAATCATTGTATATATTGCAGTAAAAGAAAAAGAAAGATATGTGCCTGTTTCAACTGATAAGAAGTTGAAAAGAGGATTAGCAAAAAGAAGTTGAAAAGAGATCTGGTATGTTTATGGGAAAAATCTTATGTAGTGGTCAATTTGTAAGTTTGTCTCTACTGAAGATTGAGGTTGGTAGAATGTTATAGATGAGCTTGTGTTAAGGATCGACGAGGTTAGAATAAACCAAAACTTCTGTGGAATTAGGAATAAGGGCAAATTAGAAGAATACCACTTTTATGGAGTTGTATGTATTATTTGAAAAGAAATGATAGTGTCACTGTCACTGTTTAACACGTGGATTTCACTATTTTATTTTTTGTTTAAATAATAATATTATATGTTCGTGAGTTCACGTGTTAAATAGTGAACGCAGAAAGTGATAGAGTATAAAAAGGGTGACGATAGCATTTTGCACTATTCTAATATGCCTTCTTGTGTAAAGATTTGAACTTAATTTACACATAAAAGTGATCTCGGTTAATAATTAGACGTCATAAATGGCAATGGGCTTAATTTTATACTAAATGATTGTTCATGCTTATTACAACTAATTGGAATTTCGGCCGCCAGATTTTGCATGATCATAATTGGGTGAGCATATCATAGTTGACAGATAAGTACATATTCGAACACTTTATAAGATAGTTTAATTAGTTTTTTCTTATACTAAAATAGTTTGAACTGTGAGTTAAAAGGACTCAAATCTATGAAACAAATATCACGTGTTACAAGTTACAAAGAAAAAAAAAAGGTTCAAGAAGCTTGTTATTTGAGTGGAGGATATCACTATTGTTTTTTTCTGTGTCATTTATCAATTGATGAGATAGATTCATGATCAAACAAAAAGTGGAAGTACAAAGGAATAGTGTGCAACTACTTCAATCAAAGAGAGAGAAAGGAAAAAAAAAAAAAAAAAGCACGTTTAAGTACCAAAAGTAGCCTAATGGCAAGGGACTTATTCCCTAGTGATTTAAAGATAGGTCGTAGATTGAGTCCTATGGTGGTGAAATTTGATATTATTTTCAAGCTACTTGCTTAATGTTAGTCATTGATAGGGTTGTGGTGATGCACTTTTTCTTCATATACAAGTTACTATAGCTTTGTTCATTTTACCGATTTGAGTTTTCAGTTTTAAGTTTCTACAGTGAAAAGTTTTCAGAAAATATCACATATAACTTTTTCTGCTACAGTGAAAAGCTCTCAGAAAATGTCACATCTCAACTCGAATTAAAAATTCGAATTCACAAAATGAACGAGGCCTATGGCTTCAACGTAATCATTTTTTAGGTGAGTCCCCTAATCATGTAGATTAAAAATAATTACGGCTAATCGTTCCTTGCTACAGTAATTATGTGCTGTAACGGTAATTGTACAAGTATTACCTAAATGTTGGTGAACAATTGTGATACTTCAAGTTAATACTAGCAAAAATAATTAGCTGGATAACCAGTGCATTTATGAAGGAGATTGTAATCGTTTTGCTTGTTCTTCTTTGATTGTGAGGCTAATTTTTTGCATTCAGTACCTCTCGTTAAAAGAAGAAATCTTTTCGAATACATTAGTCAAGACTAGGAGTTCAAAATCCGTTCATCGACAATTAGAAAGGATCTTTAAACGTGATGATAAACATCGAGATTAGATCTAAATATCCGCTTATCTGTTGTTATATACATACGTAGAAGATAATTAAAAGATTTAAACTTGAAATCTCAAGTTCTCAACATTAAAAATAGATAGAGACTAATCACACTAGGCTAAAGAAAAACATTTATTGGTTGTTTGGAAGATATACTCAAACCATGATTCTTGATTCTGATGTTTGAAATTTAATTTTTTTATGAGAGAAAAACATTATAGCAGAATCAATGATTTGAGTTTAAGTAAACGAAATAAATGGGCGCCTTTAATTTATCTCTTACTTCATGTTGAAATAAAACATGCGATATATGGATTTGAACCTCATATCCTCTCCTAAATGAATTACACGACGTGTCAATTAAAATATCTTAATTGCCTTTGTTGGAACAAAATTCCATCAAACACTTAACCAACGCTCTTAAACTGACAACTTGGATTAAATAGACTAATAATCTAAGAAATTATACACTCAAAGAACACAAACAACCTTAAAGAAAGTATTAAGATAAAATATCAAAATTTCGAGATTCTTATAGTGAAAATAGAATCCGTAATGTTTCCTCTCAAATTAAGGGAATGATTATACATTGGGAATAGGGTTTAAGTCTCCCATTAATTTGAGAGTATATTCTCACTTTAATTACAAAATAAAATCATTCACCTTGGTGTGTTACAACTTATAGAGGGTAAAATCTACAATTAGAAAAATCAAGGGCCAATGGCCGAGTTAGGAGTTGTTGATTGGTGAAAATGATCAGCTGTGAGAATGAAAGCGTTAGTAAACGTGAAAGTAAATGAAAGCAGTAAAAAAACACAAGAATTTATAGTAGTTCCCCTGATAATACATGGTACGTCCACTGTAGGGCTCCGGTGGTTTTACTATGACTGCTAAAAAGCGTTACAATAAGTCGTTCTGAGAAGAACATGATGAGAGAGAGAGAGAAGTATGCTGGAAAATATAGAAAATAATGGGAAAGTCTTCTAAAAATGAGCGTGAGAGCTTTTGTGTGCAGTGAAAACATGCCGAACTATGTCCAAATGCCTTGTAGTTATAGTTGATGAGGCTCCACGAGTTGTTTTCTGATTGTCTGCATGATATGGCCTTGAAGTCATGATATTTCCTTCCTTTTAAGGCGATGTGTGACTTTTCTTAACCGGTTTTGTCCATAATTTACCGGTTAATCATGGTTTCTTGCCCATTTTGAGTTGATTCGGCATCTTTTATTGCCTAATTGTTGGAGATCTAGTTTCCTTATGTAGAAGACAATCAATTTCGTCCAGTGAAAGGGTTGCTTGCGTAAACCGTTCCTTATTAATTCTTTTAGCTGGAGCAGGTGATTTTTTTCCTTTTTTCTGGCCGATTCTGTTGCCAAATCCCGTATAAGGAATGTCTTGAGGATATTCTCTCGTGACTTGATGCCCAAGGCTGTCAGTCGACTCGTGGGATCAACCGGTGGAGTTGATCAGTTGACCAATCGATTTTGTCTGGTCAGGGAATGGTGGTGACTCATTTTGTGACCTTCTAGAGCCCAAGTTATCACGTGCACGGTGAGAAATGAGATACATAATCTAATCTTAACACAAATGATAAATAATTACTGTGGATTAAATGTTGTCCATTGAATGCTCTTAATTATCGTCTGCTACTTGTTGCTGCCTTATGACCTTTAGGCTTCCTTCTTTAAACGAAACATTAATGTTCGGACACTCGGATGCTCAGACACTTGGGTGCTTGAACGCTCAGACGCTCAAATGTTTAGATATTTAGACGCTTGGACACTCAGATACTCTGACACCCGACCTATTGATATTTGGATACTCGACAAGCCACATGGAGTTGCCACATCATAATTATATTATTGCCAAAAATCTTAGGCAACATTAGCCCCTAGTCTTCTAGCATTGCTCCTTAAGCGAATGTGATTAAATATTTTTCACTTTTTTTTAATATATTGGAATGTTTCTGAAGAAGAGCTTTTTTTATGCTATACATTCCTTAGAATGTTTAGAATGCCCAAACATTCTGAATTATGATTGAGATGATTTTTTTTATGCGTTCACAATGAAAAGATGAATAATACCTTATTAAAATTTTTCATCACCAAGGAGTTTTTATTAAATACTATCTAAATATAAATTCAAGTTTTGACCCATCCAAATACAAACTCAAATAGATTCTCAATTCACCGTAACTCAAAATGTGCATATCTAAACACAAACTCAAATTAGAGTCCCAACTCAAATACACGTTAACTCAAATTAAGACTTGAACTCAAATCACCTTAACTCAAAAAACATAAATGAACGAGCCCTAAGGTGCTCAGACTCGGAGCAATTTGGTGCTCAGATTTATTTTTATTTATTTATTAATTTTTTTTAAGTTTAGCTCACAAAGTGCTCAAAAATTCTAAGTATTAAGGTACTCAGACACCCTTAGAACTTTCAAGTACTTTGAGCTCAGACATTCCGAGCATTTTAGTGCTCCAATTTTTTTCAAGCTTGTCTCCAAGATTGCCATAAATAATGAAGATTTGAGGAAATCCGCTGGAGATTTTTTTTTTTTTCCTTTTTTGTCAAGCACGCGAAGATCTTGACCATGGATTTGCAAATTAATTATCGGAAAATCCTCTCATTACTTATGCAAGTTTCAAAAAGATATAATTCCAGTCATTCTTCTTATAAATGCAAAAAAAGAGCGGTGCTCAGAAATGCTAGGAAAAATCTGAGCACCGAAGTGTTTAGACCCAAACACTAAAAACAAAAAAAAAAAGTGCGCAAAATATTTACCTCAAAGGAATGAAGTGCATTTGCTTCGCATACGCGTTAAGTATTCCAGCCTTTTGATGTGGTCAATGTGGTCTAGGGCGCGCTAGTCTTTGCATAGACTCGACAATGGAGACATAGCGAGGATCAACCGCAACCAGGATAGGCTCATGGTCTGAAGCTTGTATGGAATGAATTGTTGAAGGTTTTGAACGGTGTTCAGAAGATTCTTTAGAAAATTCGAGAAAATTCTTCAACAAAGAATTCAAGAATTTACTGTTTGGAATTCTGCCTGTTACCTGGGGAACCCCACTTCTTTTAGCCAAGGAATTCGAGAGGCCAAAGACCCAAAGCCACCTTCTCGAATCTTCTAAAGAAACTTCCAAACACCGTTCAAAACCTTCAACAATTCATTCCATACAAGCTTCAAACCATGAGCCTATCCTAGTTGTGGTTGATCCTCACTATGTCTCCATTGTCGAGTCTATGCATAGATTAGCACCCGCTAAATCGCATTGACCACATCCAAAGGCTGGAATACTTCCGCGTATACAAAGCAAATGCACGTCGTTCCTTTGAGGTAAACTTGTGCCCTTCCTATTTTTTTTTTTGGTACTCAGATTTTTCTAAACACTTCGGTGCGTTTAAAATTTGTTCTAAAATGATTTTATTTTTTTATATGAAATAAAAATGAAAATGTTTTTATTTTCAGACATAAATTATTTTTTAAAATGTGTTTGGTAGTTTTATAAAGAGATTATTTTCAGTATAAAAAACTTATTAATGTCTCCCTTTCTGCTTGAAAGAGGAAAAAATAAAAATAAAAAATAAAAAACGATTAAAAGTCATTTTTCATTTCTCTCCTATTTTACACTAAACTAAAAAATTATTTTTATTTTTGTTTATTGTCTTTAATTGTGTCAAACACCGTTTTAAAATCGTTTTTATTTTTTCTTTCTCAAAAATATGAAAAATAAAAACAAAAACAATTCCAAACACACCATATCTATTTTTTCTTTTCCCTTTTAAATATTTGGATTTAAGTGCTTTGGTACTCGAATTTTCCTTGTCACTCCCAAGTATCCAGTTTTTTAGTGCTTGGCTTCAAGCACTTTGATGCTCGGATATTCCTTATCGGTTCAGAATACCATTTTTGTTTCAGTGCTTGGCTTCGAACACTTTAGTGCCCGGAATTTCCTAGCACCTCCGAGCATTTTCTTTTACCAAATTTGCCACAACGGCTAACGGCTAACTTTTTATTCCTTTTCTGAAGAATTTAAAGGTCCGTTTGGTTCAAACGTTTCAATTAGTGATTTTAATTTTGATATTTAAAATTTATATTTTTTATGAGAAAAAAATATTACAGTAAAATCAAAATTATAAATTTAAATACATAAAATAAACGAGTCTTAAAAAATTTGGATGAATATAACATTCAAAGAACACAAACAATCTCAAAATAAGTATCAAAATAAAATATCAGAATTTCAAGATTCTTGTATGGAAAATAAAATGCGTAATTTTTACTTTCAAATTGAGAAATTTATAATATATGAATAGAGAATTAATTCTCTCATAAATTTGAGAGTTTATTTTCTCTTTAATTACAAAATATAAATTGTATACGAAATGGTTTTAGAAACAAAAATCTTGATATAGTCATACATAAATGAAAAGAAATATAAAATTACATTGCAATATCGTGCGTTTTATTGAATTAGTGGATTAGTATCTTGATGCTCAGATAATAACTAAACTATAATTCTATTATAAAAAAAAAAAACTAAACTATGATTTCGTACTTGAGAAAAAAAAGCCTTTTTTTGCGACTTAAAATATTATTTTTCCCCTAAACTTCAAATTAATTCTCACAATGCAAAAAATGCCACAAATTTTGTTTGTCTAATTGATCACACAATTAAATTAATAAAACCTAAGACAATATAATATAATATTCCTAAAAAAATAATAACAAAAAACGACAATCAATAGTTTTTTCTTTTTCTTCCTTTTTTTTTTTTTTTTTGAATGAAACAAAAAAATTATCATGACCTTTCTTAAAAAAAAGAAACAATAAAGTCGCCGATTCCGTGCGAGGTGGCGGCGACCACGACGTATTCACGATTCGACACTACTTCAAGCGGGCCCCAGTACTGAGGTGGCAAGATTTGGTTGGCGAACTGGACGTGTCCACCACTCCCACGAACTTCATCCGAAATGACGAGAAAGCCCACAACGTAAAGCTCCCATTCAAGACTCGGTGGTGGCATAATTGTCCAACAGCTTTAGCGCCCAAAATACCGTTTCGTTCGTTGAAACACATGGGAAAGAGAAAATAGGAGAGAGAAAGTGCGTGACGAATCTAGCGAGCCATGAAAAGCTCTCCGTGAAAACAAATAGATATGATATATACGTAAATATATACACACACATATATATAATTCATGGAAATTTTCTGATATAGAAGAAAGCAGGAGAGAGAGAGAGAGAGAGAGAGAGAGAGAGAGAGAGAGAGAAAATGATACAATGGCTGGGAAAGTTGCGAGCTGCTTTTGGCGCGTCGTTTCTTTGGCTTGTCTGCTTGATTTATTTCACCCAGGTTTCATTTCATTTCTCTGTGATTCCTTTCTTGATTTCGGATTGAATTTTGTGGCCTGTTTAATTTTTTTTGTTAAAAATGTACTGCGAAATCAATGTTTTAAATCGTCGAAGAATCGGGTTTTCTCTGTCTTTGGGAGTTTGAGATTCGTGAATTAGTTATTGGAAATGGTGAATTTGGTACAGAAATCAGCACTATGAGGTTATTTTGCGGTTCTTGTATTTGGTCTGGAGTTTGTTGGAGTATTTATCCTTGAATTTAATTATTTGAATTTTTGGAAGTAATTTCTATTATCCTTCGATGGAATTTCATAAGTTTTTTTTTTAAAGGGAAAGAAAAAAAGGCATTAGCTTTGCCTTAGTTTTAGAAATTTTATTCAGTTATAAAAATTACACAAATGTTATTAGATCTCTTTTTCCAAACGACTCGTGGTATTTCATGTGTTTTTGCTTTTCTTTCTTTCTTTCTTTCTTTTTTTATTTTTTATTTTATTTTTTACACGATTTGAGATTTTAATGTATTCACATATTGGGATAAACATGTGTCTTTGCAGGGTTTTAGATCCTTTGTGTGGACAGCAGTTTCTTACCAACTAAAAGATAGGCTCAAGTTATCACCTTCAGCTTCACAATTTGTTTTTTCAGTAGCATTTTTCCCATGGAGCATTAAACCGCTATATGGGTATGGATATTTCCTCTGTTAAAGTGACACTTTTGTGTGTTTTCTGTGATTTACAAGCATCAATACCCTTCTATATGATTACAAGTTGTTATTATTTGGAAATACTTGTATTGATCTTGATTCTGTTCTAATTGCTTCATAACGTCCGAGGATGAGACGAACCCATCATAGTTCAATAGGGGTTAGGCAAATCAAATCCGTGTGAGGGTTTCTCTACAATTTAAACAAGGGTGTTTGATCCATTTGAAATGCGTTGCTTTAATATAAAGAGTGTAAGATAAAATGCATCAAATAGAAGTATAGAACATCAGATTAGCAATGGGATTGTAGATTATAAGCCAATCATTTGTGATCCAAGTTGAAGCTGGTTAAGATGCGCGCTCGATATTACTTTCTTTTCGGCACTTGGGGATCTGATTGCATAATTTACTTGCAGAATTATTTCAGATTGTATACCTATCAAAGGAAGAAAAAGGATTCCGTACTTATTGATCTCAACCGTGCTCTCTCTTGTCTCATGGCTTATACTGGGCCTTAACACAGCCACGAGAAGTTCTGGATGGTACCTCACGTCTCTCCTAACAGTGCAAAACTTTGGTTCAGCCATGGCTGATGTAGTTGTCGATGCAATGATTGCTGAGGCAGTAAGATTTGAATGGTATGTACATAAGTTGAGCTCTTTCTGTTACTATTTCAGTGAACTTTATCTGTATGTATGTCAGTTTGAAGGTACTTTGTATCTTACATATGTCCACGATCAGGGCCTCATTTGCTGGAGATCTCCAGTCAATGTCTTGGTTGGCAATGGCTTTGGGCGGCATATGCGGGAACTTGTCAGGAGGATATGCATTAACTAACTTAAATACAGAGACAATATTTCTTCTTTTTGCTGCTCTACCATTCATGCAGTTGGTATCTTGTGGCTTGGTTGAGGAGAATTCTGTTGGCAATAATGTTCTTCCCGAGTCTTTTAACTCAAAAAGCTCCAATGGAGTAAATGGGAACAATGGTAATCTGGATGGAGATGGTTTCAGGGACAAGAAATCAAATATCAGTACTTTGAGAAGAAAGAAGAGTCAAAAGGACCATAAGAAGAATGTGGTTATCTCTAATAAACTCCAGAGTGTTGAAAATGCCGACTCCTTGGCATCATCGTTGTTCCAATCCCTGAAAACTGCCACTTATAGCTTGTTCTGCGCTTTTAGAAAACCAATCATTTACAGGTAAATAATAAGGTTTAGAATTCTGATGGACTAAGAATAAATTAATATATCAGTTTATAACCCTGTTTGTACATGTACATCCATTTTTGGTACTTCACCCAGCTTTCCAATTCATCAATCATGCCTTTTTCCCTTATATCTTTGCTATTTTCATATCCGGAGTTATATTGAGCCTTTCTTTTTTCCCAGACCAATGGCTTGGTTTTTCCTTGCGCATGTGGTAGTTCCAAATCTCTCGACAGTCATGTTCTATTACCAGACTGAAGTCTTAAACTTGGAACCATCTTTCTTGGGGACTACGCGAGTTATCGGATGGTTAGGGCTTATGGTTGGAACCTTCACCTACAATCAGTATCTAAAGACAATGAAGTTACGAAGAATCCTCATGTGAGTACTAGCAGTTTTAGTGATTTTACTTGTGTATATATGTCTAATGGCTATGTTTCTGGTTGAATAGATAACCTTAATTACTTGGTTCCTTCTCAATTAGAGTTTGTTGATGATGTTTTCACCCTTATCCATGCAGGTGGGCTCATATTGGTTTGACTTTATTGACACTCCTGGATGTTGTTTTAGTGTCTCAATTGAATGTTTCCTTCGGAATATCTGATCGGATAATGGTGCTTTGTGGATCAGCTCTTAGCGATGCAATCAATCAATTTAAGTATGTTCTAATCTTGCTCATTTCAATCCTCGTCTGTAGTTTTTCAAATGGTTCCATGTGGTCTTAAATGCACGCATGATTATCTCATTTGTTTTAGTAACTCTTCATCTATCCGATCATCTTGATACAAGCATACATTTATTGATTTAACTGAACATGAAAGTTTGAAGTATTTTCGGCATTGTTGTCTTATCATTATTGCATTTGTGGATAATTTTCATGAGCCGCAGGTTTATGCCATTTGCTGTCTTAAAATGCATGCATGATTAGCTTCTGTTTTTTTTTTATTTAAATTTTTTAAGTAACTCTTCATCTTTCCAATCATCTGTGTATTCTATATCTTGAAACATAAAACAAGTGTAACTGCATTGATTAAACCGAACAAGTAACTCTATATCATTTTCGCCATTTCTGATTTAATTGAACTGCAGGTTTATGCCATTCCTGATCTTGTCCGGACAGCTATGCCCACCAGGAATTGAAGGCACTTTGTTTGCCCTTTTTATGTCAATAAACAACTTGGGGTCCACATTCGGGTCATTCACGGGTGCCAGTTTGGCTTCAATCTTGAGCATATCCTCGGGTTCTTTTGACAACCTTCTTTTGGGCATTTCCATTCAAGTTTTCTGCACTCTCATCCCTATTGCCTTCCTATTTTTGATACCAAAGAATGCTACAGGGATATCAGCATAGATAGTGATTTACACCAATACAAAACAGAATTACCTAGTCAGTGAAGACTACAGAAAATTACCTCTTTGAAGGAGCTTCTTCTATGCGGCAGTTGACATTTACAGATGCACAGCAAAAGTTGAAGCGATAAATACTTTGGACGATGACAATTTTTCCTTTATGTGGCTGGCCTTGAAAAGCCAAACTATGAGATTTTGGTTTTTCATGTAATTAGCAATAGAGAAATGGAAATTATTGTTCTTTTGCGAATTGTTATTGATTGAAAACATTGATAGGGAACTGGGAGGGAAGATTTCCAATTTATATTTCTCTACGACCAAAGCACTAGTCTTTCTCCTCTACTTATTCTCAAACATGCATTTAAAGAGTTTTAGCACTATAGCCACTTAAAAATTTTGCTGCTTTACATATTGCTCCTTGAATTTTTAATTTTACTTTTTAAGTTTTTGCATTTTGGCAAGTTTTACTTTAATTTTTAATTATCGTAATTAGACCTTGAACCCCACCCCCCCCCCCCCCACCACAGTCACACGCGCCGCCGAC